AGGGTTAAAAATAAATCCATACTGGTTCCAGCAATATAAATCATATTTATCCACAGTTATTCATGATGACCAATTTTATCAATGTTTTTTTCCCGATCTTTGATGCATTTGTCAAATATTATATTAATTGACATTACTCTAAAACAGTGAGTATAGTACTGCTAGATGTTAGGAGATGAGTCAAAGAAAGAAATCAACATGAGGAACTGAAGAAGTGCCATTTGGGAAATGTCACTGTATGATCCTGTGGTTTTTTCTTTGTGCTATTTACTACACTGTAAAAAAAATGTAATATAAAAGTATTTTACAGTTTTGTACTATTTTTCTAGAATATCATTAAAATTACATAAAGAAACTGTGATTTTACATTTCGAATGTAAATTAACATAAAATCACTGTAAATATAATAAAACAAAATTTTCTTGTTTTTTAAACGTATTTGTCTGTACATATGCATATTTAGATTGTTAAAATACATTCACAAATGTATCCTAATTTCACAAATATTTGTCCGTTATCTCAAAGATTGAACTGTTAAATTCAAATGAAATGCTATGGAAAAATATATACCATGATTCTAACTGATGATTACATGATTGTAACTTTTTTTTTACATCAAATAATAATTATTATTATTGTTATTTAGGGCGATCGTGGCTCAAGAGTTGGCAGTTCGCCTTGTAATCAGAAGGTTGCCTGTTCGAGCCCCGGCTCGGACCCTCTCGTCGTTGTGTCCTTGGTCAAGACACTTCACCTACCACCTATATATATATATATTCTCATGAAAATACAGTTATTTTCAGTAATGACAATACAGTTGACAATATATTTTTATGAGAAAGTTATTTTCTGTTATTTTCTGTTATTATTTTGGCGCCCCAGCTGCTGGAATATTACTGTTTTTTTAGGATTTTTTTTTACAGTGTAGTGTAGATCTGCAGAACCATCACCCCAATGCAACATGCCTGTGTCGGCTCTCTGTTTAAAACATCCCATCCTCTGACCCTATGAGTACTAGCCAAGGCAATGCAGAGTTCAGATGGAACTGGTGTAGGTGAGAGGACTCGCCCAGTTCTCAATGCCTAGAAGTCCAGGTGTGTCTTCCCTGTTTCATCTGATAAGCCACACCCATTAGCAGGAACTCCCCTCTCAGTCGTGGTCCTTGGAATTTCTGGGCTGATTTTAGAGGCCTGGATTTGTATGGCTATGGGACTGTTATTTTTAAAGGACTGGTGTAGGATTCATAAGATTCATATTTTTACTTTTACTTGGAGCAAGCTTGAGATGTGTTTTATCTCATCGTTCAATGTTAAACAAAATAATCTAACAGGAAAGCAGGACTTTGTGGATATTCAGCCCTTCAGGAATACAATGGGATCCCAAATCTTCACATAGTTGGGAAAAGCTGCGAGAAGCTTGGGAAGCTGCAATCCACCATGTAAGCAATGAAAGTACAAATTCTTCTCAGAATTACAATCCAAAACACCAATGATGATGATGAGCAGAGCCAAAGTCCAATTTGGAAATCCACCATCTGGGCAGCGAATGATCCCACTGGCATCTCTGCTGGAATTTCCAACTGCTCATCTTACAGAAGCCGCAGGGAACCGTTCAAGAATGTCTATGGGTGCTTTAATGTATGCTCTGTCAAGAGCCCACACACCTCTCCCCCTTATCTAGACAGACAATCATGTTGTTTACATGAAATCTTCCGGTGTCCAGCCAAACCCTATCATTCTCTCTCTATATATCTCTATTTCCCCACATACATGTTTTAAAACAAAGTTTAAACTTGAAAATCGTTTCATCCCTTTTTTCATCACTACTTCAATTAGATTTGTCTTTAGCACATTCTCACATGAACATTAGTTTTAGCATAATTCCTTTTCAACTAAATCACAGAGCAATTAATTCTTTTACGTTTTCTCCTTACAACTCTTTGTTTGACAATCACAATTTGCAATTTACCAATTCACCTGACAGTATTAAGCATAATTAACCATCAGCCAAGTCACATATAAATCATAAAACTGTGTTTAACCATTACAATATTTAACACTGATTTTCTAGTTCAAAATAATGCAAGATAATCATTCTGACCGAGCACTACAGACACTAATCTACTAAGATTGAAACACACATAAAATCCAGACATTCGAGCAGCCATTGTCTCTACTCCAGCTACATTTCTCATTTAACATACTAATCAGATATCCGGGGGGACTTCAACCTCTCTTGATGCCACCTTTGATTTGTATTCAAAGTGTAGTCGCCTTCACTGTTCAGGGTCATTTACCTTGTTGTAGTAAAGCTGTCCCTCTGCAGCATGAAATAATTGTGTACATGGGAAAATGACAGTTTGTGCTTAAGATTATAAGGAGGAAAAAAAAGATTTCTAAAACAACATAACACACAAAAAGAAAGACGGCACGGTGAAAGATGTTCTATGCTGCATTTGATCTCACAACTATCAACATACAAGAGAGAACAGAGTGTGTCAAATCTGCCATTAAGCCTATAGACAGTACAAAATTTTGAAAATCTGAATAGAGACACACAGCACACGATTGAGCCAGTCGCTTTGAAGTATGAATGGTCTGTTAGTCGGTGAAAAAGCAGTAAAATGGCAGATGACAATAACATATTCTGGGACTGTTGCAAATCCCAGCCCAATCACTTTCTATTCCACCTTCAGTGAGTCTGTCAGTTTCATTTCAGTGTGCTTCACTGATCTTCGTGCAGTCACTGGTTATTGGTGGGATTGCTGCACTGCAGCAATTCATGGATATTTGGATGTTAGTCTGTTCTTCTTATTCAATTATTTTTTAATTAATTAGTAACACATTATTACTGTAGTCCAATATTTTTTTGGCCCACCTTCTGTGAGTCAGTCAGCTTCTATTCTGTGTGCTTTTCATTTATGTGCTCTTCTTCCCCATCCTCATCTCACTCTGGTCCCTCAGAGAACCACCCAAGCCTTCGTCTTTATATCTGAGATGACAGCATAGCTACAGTCTTTCAGTTGTGGTGAGAATGTTAATGGAACATCTGGAGTTTACATCCCAGCCAAATGCCATTCTGTTTATAGCTATTGGCTATAACTATTATTAATGGACTACACTTAATTGTGAACAACAACAACAACAATGATAATAATAGTAATAATGATGTGGGAAGTATTTGCAAATCCCAAACACAGATTTTCCACAGCTGTTTTAAATGCACAGATTAGATAGCAATAAGCAAACATTTTGTTTTCTCTAACTAATGTTGAACTGATATTGGTTATTATAGATGGTAGTTATAAAGGTTTTGTTTAATAAATCACAGCATGTCTAGAATGTTCTCTCCAACTTTAGATAAAATATAATTAAGTCATTATGGTTTTTATGTTTTTATATCTTATGAAAAAACAGAACATGAAATTTTTTGAACATAAATGTTTTTCTCTAAAAATAGGCATAAATTAAAAGTACCAAAGCAAATCAGTCTTTCACCTTTCATCTCAGACAGCGCTGTCATACAGCGCCTCTCCTGTCAATTAACGTATATCCATACATTTCTACCATCATTTGTCCATAGTCAGATTTGTTGATGAAATCTCCGCTATATTCATAGTGATACATTCGAAATTGACTGCAATGACTGAGGTCAGCAGCTTTTTTCTTGTGGTTGTGCATGTTCATTGTGCACAAACCGCTTGTCATTCAAGGTAAACTGATGGGACACCAGCATGCTAAGCAAGCTGGGAATGGCTCTGTTTCCAGTGTTTTTCGATCCATTATGATCTGTGCTTTGTGTTGCATTAGCATTACCAACTGAGGCATCGTCACACTGACTGTGTCCAGTTTAATAAAACAGACATGTTAGATTAGCATCTATGAGACTGTCTGAAAGTAATATGTTTAACAAGCTTAATTTTTTATTTTGTCCCCTGTAGATTTTAACCATCACACACTGTTCAAACCATTTCATTGAGATGATTTTGTTGTTATTTATATATTTTAATAAACTGAAAGTCCAGGTCTGTGTTTCTGAGCTCATGAAAGTGGTCAGTGGTGGTTCGGCTGTAATCGTCATGCTTACCTTTCTGTAAAAGTCACCACACACTAGGATTAATCATACATTTATTCGTGTCAGACAGGGTATTTATACATTTTAATTGATCTGTAGCTCAAAATCTGTTGTAGACATTTATGAGTCTTGTGAAGGCCTAGAATATAAACAGCATGTAAGGTTAAAGGCAGCTCTGAAGGCAAAAAGTCGGCTCCAACTGACAAGTGAGTGTATATCAGAAATCCACTTGCGTTCATTTTTTTTTTTTTGAAAGGTTTGTTTAATAATTTTTTGACACAAAACTCTACAATCATCACAGATGTCTGAAAACTTTACCATGATATACTTTAAAATGAGAAAGCATGATCTCTTGTTCTGTTAAACACAGATGAAACATTAGTTTTACTAATTTACACTAAAGTACACACATTCACTCCAGGTGTCATCCCCCTGTCTTCCTGCGTTGTTGATCTTGTTCGCCCTTAAAACACTTTCGTAGCCCTGGTTTAGAGAAGATGAAAATCACAAATGTGGTTAGTGGGGAAAAAACAACAACACAATTTCCCATCAATCCAAGAAGACATTACCATTTCATTTGTCATGGTGACATCTGAAAATCTTCTGTGAGATTCTGGAAAGCCAAAGAATAGATTTGATATCAAAGTAACATGAAATTCAGTGTATATGCATCTTGTATATATGCATATATTACAGCACAAGTTACCTGTGCAGAGACAGTGTTTTATCTTCTTCAAACTCATTGAGGAAATTAGAAATACAATCAGGATTGTATTGAATGCGACTGCTCCATGGAAGACATACGCCAAGAGAAGAGAGTCCAGCTTGTCTACATATTCAAACAGCAGGAGACATTATGGAGTTTTCAACTTTGTTAAAGTATTGACTTCAAAGTGGGAGTAAAAACTTTTCTTAACTGTACTTACCCTCAAAGTCCAGCTTGGTCCCGTTTCCAAAAAGCATGGATCCACATGAGGCAACAGCACAGTAGTAGATCCCAGCATGAGAAACATCCAGGTTCTTCATTGGCAGGCTGTACACACAAGTGTTTGTGTGTGTCTTTGGTTTCCTCTCACACTCATCATT